CATCCCATTGCAAGCGCCCATGGTGGCCTCAGCATCCACCTCCCTGCCACCTCCAGTCCCGCACAACCTCCCCACCACCCACCTACCTCGGGACACTCTGCTGGATGACCACTCCTTCGTGTCCTATTGCTGGCTGCAGCCGTGCCCGGGCAGGTGCTGCGCCCCCAGAGTGGTCACATGGCAGCGGCACATTGGCTGCTGACCATCCCTGGGCCCACCCGGTTGCTTCTAGAGGGGGCAGGCAGACAGACAGCATTCCCTTCCCTCCCTGGGCGCCTGCAGCGTCGGAGCCTGCAGCAACTTGCACATAAAAGCAATTAAGAACTTCTCACACACGTGAGAAGATTTTCTGTACTGTGCAAAAGCGTGCTCCAAGGCTGCAAGCTCTGAGGCTGCAGGCGCCCAGGGAGGGGGGGAATGCTGCCCGTCTGCCCCCCTCCCAAAGCAACCTCACCACCGTGCAGTGGGTGGGCGAGGCAAGCATGATGTTGGATGGGTACGGGGAGCGAGCAGTGACTGAGTGGGCAAGGGGAGCGAGCGGGCCCTGGCCAGCTACCGTACTGGTATGGGGGCATGGCAGGACATCAACCCTAATGGTATGCTATGTTATGGCTGATTTCTACTACCTATTCGGCTGTACCAGACCGGACCGCTAGGAACCCACCACTGGTACTTCCCCTGTGCTCCAGGATTTTTGAAAGATTTAGTACAATGGTTCTGAGATATCATCTGCCAGCTCCTTAGAACTCTGGGATGTAATCTGTCAGGTCCCAGTGATTTACATCCATCAAGGTCAGATAGGTGTGTGTTCTCTTACCATTTTCTTGCTTATTTTAATTTTTATTTCGTGTTTGTCCTCAGAGTAGCTTTTTTGGTACGTTGGGCTATATTTTCTTTTTGCATGAAGACCGATGCAAAGAATGAGTTAAGCAGCTCTGCTTTCTCCCTACTGCCTCTTACTTCCTTGCCATCTTCTCTCTTTAGTGGACCTACTGTTTCCTTGACTTTTTTTGTTATTAATATGTTGAAAGAAGCTTTTTAAATTATCTTTGACTTTTGTAGCAAGCCTTAGTTCATTCTGAGCCTTTGCTTTCCTGACTTCATCTTTGCATGTTCTGGCTATCTGCTGATAATCAGCCTTAGTTATGTGTCCCTCTTTCTATTTTCCGTGCTTATCCTTTTTGTTTTTCAGTTTGTCAGAGAGTTCTTTGTGCAGCCATGATGGTTTCTTCTTGAATTTCTTGTTTTTCTTTTTCAGTGGTATTACACTGGCCTGTGCTTTTATGATTGCATTTTTCAGTGTTTCCCATGCTTCCTGAGTTGTTTTCCCCTTTAGGATTTTCATTCATGGAATTTTTCCTAGGGTCTCTCTGAGTTTACTAAAATCAGCTCTTTTAAAGTTTAAGGCACTGGTTGGATTATTTTCTATTGCTTGTGTTTGCATTATATTCAATTCTAGCATGACACAGTAACTTCCACCCAAAGTTCCAACAACTTCAACTCCCTCTATCATTTCTTCTCTATTAGTAACAATTAGGTCCAGTATAACTTTACTTCTAGTTTCCTCCTCTAACTTTTGGATAATAAAGTTGTTAGCCAGGTTGGTTAGGACATTTTTTGATCTCCCAGTTGCTGCAGAGTTGGTCTCCCAGTTGATATCTGGATAAAGTCTCCCATTACTACTGTGGTATGCTTCCTACATACATTTGTTAGCTGATTGGCTAAGAGTTCATCTATTTTTTCTGATTGGTTGGGTGGCCTATAATATACACTTATGGCAATGTCACTCCCCCCCCCTTTATATTGACTCATGTACATTCTGGAGGTTTTTTTATCTTTGATCATGTGCATTTCTGTAGATATGTAGAGACTGCTCACATCTAATGCAACTCCACCTCCTCTTTTTGTTTATCTGTTTCTTTTGAACAATTTGTATCCATCTATCAGTACCTTCCAGTCATGGGTTTCATCCCACCAGGTTTCTGTAAAGGCAACTATGTCGTAATTGTCCTTCTGTACTATTGCTTCTAGTCCACCCTGTTTGTCCCCCAAGCTTTGAGCATTTGTATATAAGCATTTGAGAGTTTTATGCCTCTCCATGGGTATGATTCCTTCATCTCCTAATTGTTTGATTTGTTTTCTTGGGTTTTATGATTGGTTTTGTGTTCTAAAGATTGGTCACCTCCCCCCTCCTCAATTTTAGTTTAAAGCCCTTCTGATGAGTTCGACCAATCTTTATTTCAAACTGAATTTATCCTCCCAAGATTTTAAAAAAGAACAGGCAGTAGTGACTCTTGTAAATGCAAGAGACAAACTTACCTGTTGTTCTCTGATAAATGAGTGTTTACAGAGGTGTGAAAGTCCAGCTCCAGATTATTTTGTTTTCTCCCAAGAAGCTGTTAATCTGGAAGTCTGGGATTGGTTCATCTATATTTTAATCCTACCCATTAATATTTAATTCCAGACTCCTATACCAAATTTTCCGATTTCAGTGATTAAAAAATGCTAATTCATTAAAATAATAGTATTTTTAATGCAACAAGATGCTGGTACTCACACGAGCTCCTTTTTCTGGAAAACATTCACAGCCCCCACTGCAGTCTCTCCCTGCACATGGTCCAGTGTAGGACTTTCCTCCCTGAAAAACATGAGACACATTCAAAAGTTCAATAAAACTGACAATAGGAAAAACAATTAAAAATACAACTGAAACAGGAATAGATTTAAATGACAGAGTACAAACACAGGTAGTCCTCAACTTATGACCACAATCGAGCCCAAAATTTATGTTGCAAAACCTGTGAGAAATTTGTTAAGTGAGTTTTGCCCCATTTTATAACTTTTCTTGCCACAGTTGTTAAGTGAATCACTGCAATGGTTAAATTAGTAACATGGTTGTTAAGTGAATCTGGCTTCCCCATTGACTTTTCTTGTCAAAGAGTCCCAAAAGGGGATCACATGTCCCCAGGACACTGCATCCGTCAGAAATATGAACCAATTGTCAAGCATTTGAATGTAAATCACATGACCATGGAGATACTGCAACAGTCATAAGTGTGAAAAATGGTTATAAGTCACTTTTTTCAGTGCTGTTGTAACTTCAAAAAGTCACTAAGCACACTGTTATAAGTGGAGGACTACCTATAGTATCTATTTGACAAGAAACAGATAAAAACATTAAAAAGATTAATGTGCATATCCTGAGATAAATCTAATTTGCATAGCCAGAAAACAAACTAACCACTGCCCCCACAACACCTCTCAACATCTCACCTGTGAGACAGATGAGATGTCAAGGGGCTGATTTGGTCTGGTGGAAATACGTGCTGCACAGAAGCCTGTTTAGCATCCAGATCCAGGAGGTTAAGCCACTCTAATTAAAAAGGGCTTCAAAATAAAGCAGCATTTTCAAAGGTCTGCACAGTCACAGTACCAAAAATGGATGCACTTAGAGCAATCTTGACACAAATATAAAGAGATATCACTACTTTGGTATCAACAAATCTTATTAGCAAAGCTCACATTTTTGAAGCCCTGGGATACAATTAGCTATCACAAGGAGCCCAGAAGAGCTCTGCTGGATCTCCTGTAATATTCCTTGTCACCCAGTTGATCAGATGTAATCAGGAAAGCTACAGACATGGTCAGAAGGGAAAAAGCTTTTTTGCCACTAATTGTGCTGTATACCACCAGTGTAGTATGTTGCCTGTTGGTTCAGGAGATTAGTAACTAGGTAATTCACCTGCTTATTACTTATTAGTAAGTGATTAGGTAGTTCATAGATGCTGATAGTCCTAGTAATGTCTGCAAGGAAGGGGAATGACAAAAACAGTACCACACTCCTGCATATGCAAACTCCACTTTCTCTTATTAAATCATACGCATGTGTAAATAGGATGAAGTATTTTTGACACTTATCATTTATCCTGCGAACATCTCTGTATAGTCCTATCTTGTATGGATTTGTCCAGTCTCATTTTAAAACTTTCAGTTAACACTTTCTTCTGAGCAAGTGAGCACAACTGAAGATTCACACAGGGATACAGCTGCCCATATTTTAATTTTAAAGATTTAAAATTCAATGCAAATTTTAAAGATCTATTTTAAGACTCGGAAGAATTATTGGAAATAAAGATTATGCTTAAAGCTGATTTTTTTTCTTTCATCATGTCACTCATAATTTAGGCAAGGAAAGAGAAACATTTCTGGACTGAACTAGACTCAAACTATATATGCTTTTCGATAGTAATATGAATTGATTTAAATGCCTCTTACTCTTAAGTATGTATGCTTGAGGCTTATACATACGTTCCCTTTGTAAATATCAGTAGTGACAAGACTCTGTCTCCATGGAGCAGTGATGGGTTGCAAGCGGTACACCCCGGTACAGGCGTACCAGTGCCTGCCAGGAGCACCGGGTACTGTTCCGGTACGGTGCTCCGGAGGGCCCACCCACCTGCCTGAGCTCCTTACCTGTATTTGAGCATTTGATTCATATTTATTAGCAGGGGGAAAAGTCATTTTTCTGGTAAATACAATATATCTTGCCTTTGCATTGAAAGGCATTGATAGATAAAATAAAAGTTAATGTTAGATCACACATATGCGCTCCAGCCAGATAAAGTTAAAATAGAAATGAAAATGTAGTTATAGAAAACAATGGAAACTTCTTTTTCCTAATTCTGTAAAATACTTTGAATGTATACATCTTACATTTAGCACGTGTTTAAATTCAGCATCCAAATTCATTCCAGGATTGAGATGATGAGTTCACCTACACTACTGCCTCTCTCTAGGCTTTTTAATTAATATGCTTGAGAGCCTAGATTAATTGTCATCAACTAGTTATCTTCAAACTGTGGAAGGCATCATTCTATACTA